TGTTGTTGTTGATGATGTTGTTGACGACGTGGTGGATGTTGTTGTTGTTGATGATGATGATGTAGTGGATGTTATTGTTGTTGTTGTCGATGTGGATGATGCGGCTGATGTTGCGGTGGATAAGAATGATGTTGAAGGTGATTTTGTTGATGTTGATGCCGTAGTCGGTTCTATTTTGTAAAAATGATTTTAGAATGAAACTAAACGATTAGATAAGATTTATTTATTTTTCTATAACATTATATCGACGTTAAATATGAGTTAATTATAATAAAATAGGAAATGTTTAAATGATTTCCATTATAATTGTGATTCTACGATATTTACTTTAATTATATCTCTACTATAATAATTAATCCGTGATTTAGACGCAAAGGTGTTCAATATCTCTGTCAAGTTCTCTTAGTTCGCGATAACTTGAAGTTATTTTTCAAGAAAATAACTTTTTCTCTGTCAGTGATATATTCTCTTCTATATCTGTTCTATTAATACTGACCCGATGGGAATCGTGTTCCACTAATAACATTCATACTAGTAGCATCAATATCAGCCAACATGTTTCCATTTTGGTTCAACATATCAGTAAATAATTCACAATTAGAAGTTGATCGATGAAACGTAGCTGCTCTGCATTGACTTTGAGTTAAACAGGCTACTTGACAATTCCTAATGTTTGATGCAATAACATTAATGAATGGTAAACATGTTGTATTGGCGCATTGAAATTTAGAATCAGGTATTAAAGATAGTATCATTGAGCCTGTATCTTGTCCGATTATTTGTTTTATAATTATAAATAACAGCCATAAAGAAACTTGTCTTGAAGCCATCAATCATCAGATTCTAAGTTGATCAAATGAATTCAATTCATAATAGAACACAAAGTATTTATTGAGCAATAAATTCTTTTTTTTCTCTTTTTTGAGTGGGTAGTACATCATTTTTTCCCCGAATTTGTTTCATCAATATAATAAAGAAAAGTGGTCAGGACTTTTTTTTCTGAATTTATTTTGTCAGTTTAATCAGGAAAAGTAGTCATGACTTTTTTGTTCACTGAATTCATTTCATCCGTTTAATCAGGAAAAGTAGTCAGGACTTTTTTTATTTTCAAAAACAATTTATTCATTTGGAAAGATGATTTTTCTATGTGTTTAAATGTTATTCAAGGACAAATATATTTACAGATAAAGTTTTTGAGTTACATGAAGAACGATGAATCCAACACAATTGAACTTGAGAGAACAATATAACCAACATTAAGTTAGAGATAAAATTTTCTATAAAAATCAAAATAATTCAATTAAAATTTATTTATATATTCAAATCTGAATACTTCAAATGTACTACATAGACTATACAATATATCAGTGAACTGACACACCATTCATATAGAATAAAGTGTATCTTTAATATCTAAACGAAGAATAGCCAAATGAGTTAGTTGACTAGACAAGAAAACTGAACACTTTTCGAAAATCAAACACACTCGACTTAAGTTTCTATAACACAAAGTATAAGAACATTTCGAGAATCTCTCGTTTTGTTATTCTTCCATTTTTGATTGATTATAATTTGTAATTCAATAGATAATCATATTTTTCTTCATGAATGTCAAAATGATTCAATCAATTGAGATTTATATCTGTGTAGAATAGTTTTAATGAAGAATAAAACATTTTATTTATTCAATATATTAAAACAAAAAGTTTTTTAATATTCCAGAATCGTGCAAATAATTGTTTATCATAACAATACATTCAAAACTTGTTTGTTTCTCGATGAAAAATATCCATTCAGTAAATGCTCCCCTTGTTTTTCTTTCATTTGTATGTTGGTATGATGTTTTACGTATGCAGAAAAAGAAACGATAGAAACAGAAAACTGGTGAAATCATCTAGAGTTGTTATAATCACAATAATAGAAACTACGTTGTTGCATAACAAGAGAATTGCATATGAAGAAAAGAATAACGACAGAAAAAAGTTAACTTTTTTTCAATAGACAAACGAATCTCCATGATTACAGTAGAAAACCAAAGCTGATAACATGCCTTTTCTTTCTTTTGATATTGTGTCCAAGAAAAATAAGAGAAATATTCTTTTGAAGTTTGAACATAACATACACAACTCTAAGATGAATGATTATTTCTAATAAATAAACATTTCTTTTTTTCTTCTTCGGATTCTAATGAGAATGAATTGTCTACTATAAAATATGTTATACATGAAAATAATAATTCTAATATATATTCACAATACAACATTCATCCAGCAATTTTATATCTGTTATAGGAGAAGTTAAAATTTTAATTTGTCCTGAATATCAATTTACCCTGTAACATTTCTATTGTTATTCTAATAGAAAAAAAAGAGATCACTGAATAATAACAATTCTGATCTTAAACATGAAGTGTCATTTAAGAATAAAGCCAATAGTTATATCATAAATCACAACTTTACTCTATATACGTATTCATTCGACGCTAAAAATATTTTATGATTAAAATACTGGAATAAATAATCGAAGATCTTTAAAAATAGAAATCTCATTGGTTATAATATCTTAGATGTTATACTAAACAACTATTTATTTATTCCATTAATACAATATATCTTCATGAAGTCGTGTATACAATTCATATAGAATCAAATATTATTACTTTCATAAATAAATTAAATATAGAAGAAATGAAAAAAGTATTATTTTTCTATTTTCTCAACAATTTCATAATAATATAAATATGATATAATAAAAGAAAAGATATTATAGAGATCATGCTAAAATATAAAAAACAGTTACGAAAAGAAATATTTTTCAATTCAACAGCTTCTAGTTTATTTCAATGGAAATGACTTGACTTATCAATTTTACATTTGGATAAAACTTCAATCGTAGTGATCATTTTTATTTTTATTTTTGTAATGAAATAGTTAATTATCAGATAAGGAGAAATTAACGATAAATTTAATAGATCGATTTCAGATAAATTTCACAGTCAAATCTCAAGATAATGTAAATATATGAAGACATTTTCTCAGTAAATTGTTATTACCCTCTACAGGCTGTTTTTTCTTGTTACCAAGTCATTGTTTTGGTGTGGTGTGGGTATGAAATAATATTAATATGTAAATCCATTTAACTGTCTCATCTACACTTTTAAATAGAACAAAAATACACATGATCAATATTATTTGCTGTTTTATTTTTTCCTGTGAGTTATTGGTGGGTG